GCTTAGAGGAAACTCTCAACGTGCTCTTGAAAGCTACCCTCTTTTCTACCAAAAAAAAAAAAGGATTTTTAATCCTTTCTCTTCCAGAAAAAAAAAATCTTAAGGAATATCTACAGAATCTATTAGGGGACACTGGTACTGCTACTGACTGAATGCCTGGTACCCACCAAATAGAGGAAACTGTACATGGTACAAAGGAAGGTAGTACGAAAATCTGTAATAGAACCATCGGTACTATAAAGCAAGTGTAGGAATCTGTATAGGCCCGACAAGAAGGGGGGGTAGACGGGACAAATTTCCGGGGCCCGTAAGACCTGGGGGGCCCGGGCTAGACGTTGAAATTTTGCTTTACAAGTGTCACATTCAAAAAGATGAATAACGCCTTTGCGCTTAAATTTCGCTTCACAAGTGTCACATTCAAAAGGATAAATATCCAAATGTGTCGAAATATGATCTTTTAAATTGATTTTTCGTTTAAATTTGGCTTTGCAAGTATCACATGCAAAAGGATAAATATCCCAGTGTGTTAAAATTACAGATTGCCATTTTGTTTGAATTTCGCTTTGCAAGTGTCACATTCGAAAAGACAAATTCCCGAATGTGTAATTGAATGATATTTCAAGCTTGTTTCGGTCTTAAATACAGTATTGCAAATAAAACATTGGAACTTCCTAATAACAAACAAATTTCCGTAAGATCTGAGGGGCCCGGATTTTAATAAGGGGGGACTAAAAAAAAAAGAAAGAGGGTGGCCCGTTATTATTTATTTAGGGGACCAAAAAAAAAAAAAAGGCCCATTATTATTATTATTATTTTTCACCGGGGCCCGACCCAGCTCTCGGCGGCCCTGAATCTGTAATAATATATAATATGAAATGTTCAAATAAATAACCACAATTACTGTTAGATGGTACTAAAAAATAGCGAAATGAAAACTGTATAGGTGAAATGACAACTTAGTAATACATTTCTAGATGGGGGTACTTTTACTTGAGGGGGAAAAATAATCAACAGTTTGTCCCCCTATCGAAAGTGACGTTATGAGATTTGTGACATAATTAGACTATCCAAGATGCTGTTAGACTAAAATTAATATGGCCGCCAAGACGCACACAAACTCTTTGCTTATGTGTTATAAAATGGTGTTATGAGTTTTAAATAGCGCTAATTGTGATTTATTTGCGTTGTTATACTTAAAACCATTGTTTTTATTGATGTTAGAAATTCAATTATGACCATCAACATAATGACCTTATGGGGTTATGGTTTGTGTGCCTTCTGGCCGGCCATATTCTGCTTGCCAAAGTCACGTGTTTTAGATAGACTAATAGCTATCGCCTGTGAGTCTAAATAATCTTTCAAATGTTTTGTTTTCCCCCCATCGAAAGTAAGGTTATGTGTGTGACGTCAGCTAGTGCCTACACCTCTGTCAAGAACAGTTGACCACATTGTTGAATTCTTCTTATACACCCATATAATTCAGTCTGAAAGTCAGAAAAGTGTTTTTCTAGGGGCTATATAGGAAACCATCCATATTCCTCTTTTATGACAGAAAAATAATTAACCTCGATACTTACAAACCGTGAGATAAATATCTACACCATTATCGCATTATATAGTAATTAAATCGAATTTAGCATTATACGCCTATTTGCGTCAAGATCGATAAATCTGGTACCGTTCTTCAGAAGAAAGATATCGGATGTAATCATGTAGCAAGTCAAAGATAATGTGCAATTTGGTTGGTACATTAAGATATCAGGTTTCTCTAGTAATAGCAAACAGGTTGAATATGAAATAATAATGTTGTCAATAAGGATTTCCTTGTGGAAATTATTTCATATAATGTCTCAGAACAATAATTTGGCGTATATTGCCTAAAATAAAACTAAAAACCGAATTCAGGAAGAAAACATTGTATGGCATGCCTCAATATTTTCAAGGAAATGACCAACAAAATGAGAAAATTCCTCATATTGTTTCTAGGAAACATACACATAAGTTATGAGCACAAAACAGTCAGCATGGCGACAATATGTTGACCTTTAAAAAGCGAATTGTTCTATTGCCATTTGAAATGATGATAATCACCCATGCACCACGTCCAAGGACAAACCGCTCGTTTTTTTTTTTTATCGTAGAATAATTATCGCTAATTTTTTTAACAGCTGTTATTTGAACCAGCTGAACTGGTTACGTGGGACTTTATACATATGACTATGTAATTTTTAAGTTTAAGCCAATATAAGTTTACTTGTGTGCTTTTAACTAGGAAATCCATAATAATGGGCACCGATTTTTCTCGAAAAGGAAAACTCCGGCAGTGACCTGCCCCGCGAAGCGGAACCACTTGTGGCGTAGCATAGTAGTTCTTATAGACAACTAACGGCACCTGAACCTGTACAAACTTGGTTCGGCTTTTTGGGTCCTCGCGAATTAAGGCTAACTGTAATTTAATCTTGGATTTTGTTTGTTTTTTTTTTATAAGCTTTTTTTGCTGCAATCGAATAATTGTCTCATAAAGAAGACAATCTTTAATTGACTAACTGACTGACCATTGGACTGACCAATCGAAGTGAAAAAATCTTACAGGTGGCTAACAAAGTACAACTTATTACTCATCAAAGAGGAAGTAGATATTACAAATCTAGTACTACTAGATGCAACTTTCTTTTTTCCATTACATCTTAAGTGCATATTGAATGTTTTACCAACAATCTTAATCAAAAAAGACTCGTATCAGAAACAAATCAAAAAGCAAAATTACCATATTTATAATCTGCAAGAGCCTGGTTGCATGGAAATATCGAAGTAATGAAATGTCGGCGTTGGATTACTTCAGCTGATTTTTTTTTTCATGTCACACGTTGCGCAACTTGAAGGTTAGCGATTTCTGTGGTGGTACTTAAGAATCGTAGGCGTGATCGTATATAAGTGAGAGTCTTCCGATCTAACCTAGATTCAAAGATTTACTAGCTGACGTTGGAGATTTTGTAACCATTTAGATGACGTCGACAAGTAATCGGCTTATTATAAGTGGTTTACAGTTTTGTTTTTTGTAAATTCTTGCTTTGTTTCATTAATATTTAATATCTTGTTGGTACCTATAAATTATGTTACAGTCGAAGCCCTGTGCAATACCAGAGTTGAGATTCGGTGACGTTTGAGTAAAAAACGAGATTTTTCTCTAAAGTCATCCGTACAGTCCATCCAGGCCCAGAAGCAGGAAATCGATCTCTATAAAGTGCAAGAAGCATTTCATGTAACAATTTGGGAAATAATGTTTTAAGGGTATTTCGACCCCGCTGAATACGAATCTGCCTGTTGCCAAAGCGAAATTTGCACGGGGAGTCTAGTATTCAAGATGTCGGCCAAGATGGATTCTAAAACTCTGTTGCCCTATATCTTTCTTGTCACTTGGCTTAAAATATTGATTTAAACGCCGGCTTGGTGGTTTTCTCGGATGCTCATCATATTGGAGTGCTCAGAAATTAATTATCTTAAGCCTAGAGTGCGTGGGTTCCAAGATGGCGCCCAAGATGGTCGCCGAAACTTTGTTGTGTTTACGTGTTCTTGTATTTGGAGTGCAATATCTGTCAGATATGCAGTTTTTAGTGGTTAAATGTGTACTAAATGCATAGTATGTGTTACATATTGCTTGGAAACTCCTTGATAGATAAACAGAACTGTGTTACTGAAGGTGTCACTTTTAGTATCTTTTGTGATTTTTGTAATATACTAACGTTTTTTGCAGGATATGGCGTCAAGGGAACGGTGCGTTCCTTAGTTGATATGACAACCATAACCTATGCATTATCTGCCAGAAGAGAAAATGTTCGAAAGACAAATTATCAGATCTAACGGATAACGGCAAAGAGACTTTCCTGAAGTACGCAGAGTTGAGGAAAGAACTTCATGATGCTGATTTTGCTGCCAGTATTGTTAGGATCGAACAAACGTTGACAAATAATGACGAGAAATTCGAGTACCACCGCGGATGCTACGCAAACTTTGCCAATTCTGGGAGATTAGAAAGGTTAAAGAACAAATCAGCGCCTTCACAAGAAGTGGAATGTGCTGCTACAGAACCGTCGTCATCTCCATACGTCACCAGGGCTCGGACTGACTGTGTCAAAGCGATAACAGCGAAGTACTGAGGCAGGTGATGTCAAAGCCAATGAATGAGACTATAAATGCTGTAGTAAAATAATTTACCTTTGATCCAAATTTGCAAAGATCTAAAGTATCAGCCTCAATGGGTCACGTTTCGCAACTCTCACATGTTTGGGAAGGATTCGTTCACCTGGCCAGAACAATCGACGTTGAGATACCGAAGTCATTTGAACCGCACTTATCAACTTTTAAAAATAAATTGCAAAACACCATCAACGACTCGTTCCTTTTTTTCCAGCCCTTGAACAAGGACATCACAGGAGAGTCTACCTTACCCTCCTTATACCCCGGAAGTTTTCCGCCAAGGTGACTGCGGATGTTGCTTTAGGAGAAATCGATCAAGATGTCTTGATCCCAAAATGATGATTTTTTTTTCCATGCCTGCGCTTCGTCTTAGAGGGAAGCTGCAAGATTCGCCGGGTCACTCAGGGCTTCATTTTTCCCAAGAAGAGGCTGCCGCAGTTATACCGGAAAATTTTCATTTGTTCCTGAGTGTACTGATAGGTGGAGACGAAGTTCTCGACGGCGTTGTCGATGACCAAGACGATGACTCAAGCAATGATGAAAAATACGACAAGATCTAAGAAACCGTGCAAGTACGGTCTTCAGCCCAAAACGTTGAGCTCTCTATAGGCCAGGGTCTATGCTGTGAGTGGCGGTAAGAAGCTGACACCAAAATTCTCGGATTAGCTTTTTCTGTACACAAGCAGACACGATCTCGTAAACTTCCAACTCTGCTACACTCAGCGGAGCATTGTATGAGCTATAAGCAGGTCCTCCAAGCGGATAAAGCTTTCGCAAATGCGACTTTGAAGTCCACAGAATACATGTCTCTTGAAAACGCTACCGGTGCCGTCATCCCACCAAATTTTAAGGTATTTAAAATTGACGGCAGCTTTGCATATAACGGCGGACAACATCGACATTCTGATGGTAAGAGGACGTTCCACGTAATCCAGATGGTCGTTTTCCAACGAGGTGGCCAAAGAACAGATGAAGTGTTGCACACTGTGAAGCTTAACCCTGAATCAACATTGAAGGTTCCCGACGTGCTGAATCAGTTGTTGCTACCAAAAATTCCTAAGGTAAGACCGGAGCCATATTTTTCGAAAGCCGATTGGTTTCACGCTAGTTAGCCGGGAGATATGAAAAATCTGCCGCTGTCCAGGAGTCTCGAATACAAGATTTGGCCTTCGGCATTTCTCGTGTATACTTGGATGGACGGAATTCAATAAAAAATCATCCAGCTCTACTTACGAGGTTTCGACAATTGGATATATGCCCTTGATCCTGAACCCTGCTCTCGAGATGACAATACTAAACACCGTCGTTTGAAGATGTATTACGGCTGCTGACAAACTTGGAAAGCATCATGTAATACTGACAACAGAGTACAGACCAGGCCTTGTATTGCAAGTTGTTGGAACTGAAGTGGTGTTCGGAAGAGGTGCGGAGCCGAGTTTTTCTTAGGATGGGCGGTCTTCACATAGCTATGAACTTCCTCCAGGTTATCGGAAAGCACATGACAGGAAATAGCCTCATCGAAATGAGGCTAGAAAGCGGACTAATGGCTGGAGGCAGTATATCCAAAGTAATCGACGGCAAGGCGTATGGAAAAGGGATGAGGGCTCACAAGATTACGCTTCAAGCTATATGACAGATTTTAGCTCCTCAGATCGCGTCTTTCTTTGTAGACCATGGCGAGTTCATGCGCATATCGAAGGATCCCCTACAGTTGAAATGTTTCAGCGGCTCAGATCTGGTTGTCAACTTTGTGAATCAGCGCCTTGTTCTAATCTTCTGAAAAACCTGTCAAAAGTTTTTATACTACCATACCGAGAAACTCTACTTTGACTCTCTCAGACCTCTTCGAAGTCCAGGACACTAAAGATCCGAAAAAGGATGTGAGGCTGACAGGGATGTTCTACATCGTCTAATTGAAGCTTACGAAGCAGGCAGACGAATTGACTTACCCTCCATTTTGAAGCACGAGCTTCTTTCAGTACCTTTATCGTTGAAGGAAATGGATGGCATCGTCAGATTGTCTGAAAAAGCATCGACGATAAAACTCGTTGCTGAAAGGCGTGAAATGCCCAAACTCCATTGATATTGATCGGAACACTTCGCAACTGATAATAGACGTTCAAGCTCTAGTAGACAGCATCCCAGAGTGGACATACTTTTCGACCGGTATCGCCCCATTCAATTAAAAGTGGGACCCGCTGCAGACGAACCAGGGGAGCTGCTCCAGTCAGAAGGGACATCATAAGTGCAGCCATTCCACTGCCAAAAGATTGGAAGAAGCACTGGGAGAAAACAAGGCCGACCTAGCCCGCCTTCTATCTCAGGAAATTCTTCAACATATCGTTGAGGCCATCGAAGTTGTTGTTTCTGAAGGGCTCATACATAAAGACGATGTGCGATCAACCAACCCCGTCAGTGTCTTCGCAGCGACACATGAAGAGGCCGATACTCGCGTTGTACTACATGCTGTCCACTCTGATGCTGACAACATCGTCGTCATGGCCAGGAACACCGATATTTGTTTGTTGTTGATCACTTTGACAAAATGACCAGTTCTAATAAATTGTGGATGATGAGTGGCACAGCGAAAGAAAGGAAGTATCTCCCAGTACATGAGATTTGCAAAATTCTTCCTAATGCTCAAAAGAAGAACATCTTGGCTTTCCACGCAGTTACGGGTTGCGACTCGACGTCTCACCTTGCAACGATAACGAAGAAAGCAGCGTGGAAAGTTTTCAATGGAATGGCTTGCCAACTTCTGGACAACTTAGGGCACTCACCGCTAACTCCCTCAGACAGAACAGAAGTTCCTCGTACAGCTCTATAAGGGTAAAATTTATCCAGGTGGTTCAGCGAGTCCAAAGATTAATCTATTTCAAAACGTTTCTATCTCTCTGAAAAGGTGGCCAAAGATGTATCTGGCGGCGATGAAGCCAGACATCAGCTTTTCGGTGTTGTAAAAAGCCAGTAGCCTTACCTCTAACAAGCGATGCGCTGCAACCATACCTCTTAAGATGCCATTACCAAGTAAAGAGAAGATGGGACGCATACTGTGATCAGTATAACCAGTGCCCGTTCCCAAAACCTACACGGATATTCTAACCTGCAATTGTTCGTCCCACTGCCTGACAACAATGTGCACATGCAAAATGGACTGACTTGCACCAAGTTGTGCCACCACTCTTACAGATGCTCTTACCAATGTTTTAACTCGTTAAAAGGGTGATTAATTATCTTTTTCGTATTACTGCCTTCAGCTGAGGACACTAGGATGATTTTTTTGTTATCTTCATTACAATCCTGCAATAAACAATGTTCGAACTATGGAATGGTCATTTTCTTCACTTCCTTCGACGGCCATCTTAGAGCCCGTGCGCTCCAAACTTAAGGTAAGTAAATTTCAAGCATTGCAATATGCCTAGCATCTGAGAAAACCCCTAAGCCGATGTTTAAATCATTATTACAAGCCAACGGACAAGGGAAATATAGGGCAAGTTTTGACCACCATCTGAGCCGCCATCTTGTATACCGGATTTCCGGTCCAAATTTGGCTTTGGCAACAGGCAAATTCGTATTCAGCGGGGTCGAAATACCCTAAAAACATTGTTTCTCCAATTGTTACATGAAATGCTTCTTGCATTATTCATTTTTGAAAACGTCCCTGGTCTATAAGAATGATAATGTCTGTGTTTGATTTTTATGTTGCCCTCTGTGCAATAAAACTGTTATTTTCCAAATCTAAAACTGTCTTTCTCCGGACCATTCCAGAACATCCAAGGACGATAAATCATTCTTGATTTTCGACTGCCAAGTAGAACTTCCTTATCCAGGAAAGTGATTTAATAGCTTTCAATAGATTTAAAAGACTAGAGAAAATAAAGAATAAAATTTAGATGGACAAATTGAGAAATAAATTGTTGCAAAAGTCATTCTTTTGACAGACTCTTGAATTTTATTTATTTTGAGAAATTTGAATGGATCAAAAAAAATTATCTCATTTTTTCAAAAAATATAGTGTAGGAACAAAATTATCTCAACACACTTAACCTCATTTTCCATACATTATTGTGTACTCTAGCAACTTCCCATAGATAAATAAAAAAAAATGTGTATCTTCAATGTGCTAATTTTATAGTTGATGATGTCCTTCACATTTTTATCTCTAGTGTAACAACATAATAAAATCTTCTGTCAGTTCTGTCTGATGCTGTTTATTATTATTTTTTTTTAAGATAAATGTTGCTTATTCCACGTAAGAATTAGATATTCAGGATTTATATATACATATATGACCATCAGTCTTGTTGCTAAACAAAATCAGGATTCGAAAGATTTATTGCTAATAAATCACTCAATTATTATCCTTGCATAAGTAGTTTTAACCAGTGGCGGCTCGTCAGAGGAGGCAAAATTGAAAATTCATTCTCAGTTTTTTATTCCTGATTCTTATTTAATTAAAATACTAATTCACAAATTACACTTTCCAAATTTCGATATTTCAATGTAATTAAGAAAAATCTGACAACATTATTTCAATCAACCCCGCGCCTCCACGACAAAAATCTGTGAATCTGGGATACTCAGTAATACGAGCCCGAAGAGCCGGAGTTATACGCGAGCTTAAAGGCCAGAGTAATACGAGCCCGAAGGACCGAAGTTATACACGAGCCCGAAGGGCTAGAGTTATTTTAATCACGGGGCCCAGTCTATAATTCTATTGGTCAGCGGAAATATTCAAAATGTGATTTTTAGTCGATATTCCGAGTTTCAGTTCTCTCCGATGTACCAGAAAAAAGTTAGCCTCCCCATCCTTCTTGATTTAGAATTTTTTTTCCGAATTTCCAAAAAAAAAAAAAAATACCATTAGATACAGGAGCAAAAAAAAACGTTGAAAAGCTTATGGGATCCTGCTTGCTATGATGCATTTTAAGGCCGGCAAAAAATTAAAAAAGCATATTTCGATTTTGGCCAGATAAAAATTTCGGCGATCTAACCGTGCGTTCGTTATTTTGGTCTGAGTTCTCCGAGCTTGACTTTACCGTTCGTTTATTTAAAAAGTGTACTCGGTGCAGCCTCATTCGCGTTCGTTTATTAAAATTTCCGGTACTTTTATACAGCGTTCAACTGCTCCGTTCGCTCGCTGGTCACGTGATTACGGCTCTGCTCAGCTCGCTCTACACTTTGAGCAAAATACCGAACGCAAGGTAACACGACGTTACTTTTTCGCTTATAGCTCCGCTATTTCTCAACCGATCGTTTCGAGTTATATCTCTTTTGAAAGAGAAACTTCCTGTACTCTCCTGTGTTTTCAGCTTATGATATTAGATGGCGCCACAGGTGTTCATTCCATAACAAGTGATGAAATGAATATTCCTGCACTAGTGAGGGAATGAAGCTATTCCGTAATGAAAAACTAAGTCGGAATGGATGAATTCTCAAATAGTCGTAGAAAAAAGTGTTTCCCGTATTGTTATTCATTGATTCCTTAGCAACTATTGAAACGTAATTGAAATACCAGAATATTGAGTTTTGCGACCTGTCAACCGGTCAAAAATGCTGACATTTCTTGTCAATCGCAAAAAAATTTAATTTAACCCTTCTCGCTACGGCCTAAGGCTTAAGGCCGAAAAAAAATAAAAGAGGAAATTTCGATTTTGATCTGAAAAAAATTGTGGGTACCCGACACGAGGCCACTTTTTCGCTTATAGTTCCACTATTTCTCAACCGATCGTTTCGAGTCATATCTCTTTTGAAAGAGGATGAAATTACCTACAAAATATTTTTTTATTGAGATGCCAGGCCGTTTTTGTTTTTGAGATATCAGCCGTCAAAGTTGAAATTCTTTGTAATTTTGTTAAAATTTTCGAGGTCGATTTTCTCGAAAACGGTGCCTCGTGGAGGGATAGTTCTTATAGGCTTTTTTGTAGTATTTGATGAGATCTACAAGTTTTGCATTTGAAGTTTTTCTCCCGAGCTTTTTGTTTTCGAGTTAGGTTGCTTTGAAAACTAAAAAAAATATATTGGAAGTAAGTATTCCTATAGATTTTTTTTCGAAAAAATTCAAATTTTGGATTTCGAAAAAAAAAAATAAAAAATAACATTGGAAAGAGAAGCAAAAAATACTACGAAAAGTTGATTTGACTTTCCTCACTACGGCGCATCTTAAGGTCGGAAAAAAATGAAAAAGGAAATTTCGATTTTGACCAGAAAAAAATTGTGGGTAGGTACCCGACATGAGGCCACTTCGTCAGAATTCCTGTCCTGCTATTATTCTGACATTAGAGGTCGACTGGAGGCTAGACTCTCACATGCTTCACTGAAATTTAGCATTCAAATTTGTGCCTTCCTTGTATTTTTTAGTTTTTATTTTTCGTCAAAATTAACTTTGAAAATATATACTTACATGAAGAAAAGTAACATTTTCTCGAGTATTCATGGTTTTTATTGAATTTGAGATAAATTATTGAGGGCATGGGCACCCCAAAATAAATTTTCCCTGTTGCGCAGTGGTTACCTTACCGTAATTTATTATTTTTTAGCCTCCTCACTTGAAATAGTCACGAGCCGCCACTGGTTTTAACTTTGGTACCTGGTAAATTTTGTAGATAAAGTTAAGAGGTAAGTCAAGGATAT